TGTAACACTTTTGAAATCAATGATTATTTAAGAACTCCTAAAACTGCACATTATCCAGCTGCCCTGCACACAAACATTGGATCTGCTCTGCTCTCTGTGGCTCTCTGCAAATGGAGAGTTTGGATCTGAGATCTGAAGCTGAGTGTGGCTCAGAACACCTCTTTTCTGTCCACAGCCACCACAGAGATCTACAGCAATTTTCTGTTTCAGGAGGAGCTGGAAATACTCAGCACTTCTGAGGTGTGGTGACAGGATTCCTTTGTGGATTTAATAATGGCCGCATCTGCTTATTTAGGATTTCACCAATCCTGATCTTTACATAGTCCTGGTTTTTACTTTTTTTACATGATTCAGAGTTTACAACCAGCTATAAAAGCACTGGGCTTCAGATATAAAGCTGCAAAGCCACCATCTATTCATTTTTCTTTGGGTGTCTCCATCCTGACAGATTTTGAAAGATGAGCTGAAGTTTATGTTTGGATAAGATGTTAAAGAACAGCACATGCTCTGCCTTCAAATCCTCCAGTGATACTTCTCACAAAGGATTTCCTGCAGTGTATTTAGCTGACCTCCATTCAGTGAGTTCACCTGTGGAAGTGACAAATTGTGCCCACATGACTAATGCCAGGGTGATGAAACCTTCTAGAAATTATTCTGGTGGGCAAGACAAAGTGACAAAAGCAAAGGATATGTGGCATGAGTTTGTGATGAGATCAGAGCATTTTCTCACATTCTATAGAGTACCTGTGTAGCTCTCTGTGAGACAAAGACTGTGCTTAGATCACCTCATCAGTTCTGTCCCTGTGGGTTTACTCCAAATTACAGGGAATTTGCAGCAGCACTTGTTTCACAAAAACATCACAACCCAGAAATTTCTCCCCTTCTCTGATAAAAATGCCATCTCTGTGAGTCAGACACAGCACTGTGATGAGCCTCAGAAATAAAAGTCTGATAAATTGAACAACCTGCTTTCTTGAAGCACTAGGAGATTCTAATATTTGTCAGGGAGGACTCTCAGCTTGCCAGGAAGCCACTGGAAAACAGAGACTAACAAAGCCTTCCATTTAAAGGTACAAAAATGCCTTTGTAAGGCATAATAAGGGAACAACTTTAACTGTTCCAAAATACCTCTCAACCCACACACATCTCATACACCCTGATCCACTCAGCCTGGGGAAACCTGAGACAGGCTTCCAAGCATAACTCCCTTGTAGTTTTTCCAGTTTTGAATAAAACATCCTTATCAAATACATCCCACAAGAGACATTCCTTTTGAAGAGAAAGTAGCATCCCTTCTCTGGGTAAGCTCTGTTTGTTTCCAGCCATGCATTTCAGAAGGAGCACTTGAAAGACTGACAGAGAAATGCTGAGGAAGTCAGATTTTTAAAAAGGCCCTGATAATATGAAAGGATTTGCAATAGGAAATGGAGACCCATTGAGAACAGCTCAGACTCTGCAGCAGTTCATCTTTGGCATTCACAAAATTGTGTTTATATGCCTGGACAGCGTGACAGGAGCTCTAAAATCTGATGGTGGAAGGATTCATTTTGATTGCCTGGGAAAGGAGTGTTTGTGTGTGGGGCAAGCTGTTAAATGTCTTCTCATCCTTCCTTCTCCTTCTGGACATCCAAACTCTGATGCCAGGAGGTGCCTCAGCATTCTCCTGTTGGAGTATGTTTAATGTAGCCACAGAATCAAGCAGTGCCTGGCTGGAATTCTGCTTCCCCACAATATCTGGAACCCCAGATGTGCAAACTTCTTCAGGAGAGCTCCCACTTGGACAAACAAAGGAACAAGGAAGCTCAGCCCTGCCCTTTCCTCAGCATGGAAAAGAGGAAGCTGAACCCAAGGTGACCCAAAGTTTGTCACCTGTGCTTACAGAGGGGACGCTCGGGGGTGGCACATAAAGATGGGGCAGGAATCTGGGTGGAACAGGGGCTGCAGTGGGTGATTCCTGCCAGGGAAGCAGGGCTGCTGTGCTCTGCACACCCTCCTCAGCAGGCTGCAAGCCAGGGCTTTTGGAGCAGTGGGACACCACAGAATCACAGCACACGGGCTCATGCTCCAGCCTAGCAGGAGTGCAGCTCTTTAGAAAAATAATGAAAAAGAAGAGGCAGTGCTGAGACAGGATAAATAAGGAGATAAATCACTTTGCAATACAATACAGTCAAAACCCGAAAATAAACAATTACTTTAAATCATATCAAGCACCTATCACAAACATCACATTTATACAATTGATCCATGTGTAAATTAGCCAATTAATTCTGAATTGCAACACTAATGAAATAATAATTATCTGTTTACAATGGAATGGTACGAGTGAAAGTCTAGAAACAGAAATAAACACTGCAGCAAAATCCACTCAGCTCCATCACCAGTGGGCAAGGGGGAAACGGTCAATACCAGTCTTTAACATCCAGATATTTCAGGGGAGGGGGAATAAATAAAATACATAAATAAGCAAGAAATCTATGGACCTTAAAAAAAAGAGACAGAGAAATGCTCTTGTAGAACACTGCAGGGTTTTGTTTGTTTGTTTGTTTTGTAGTAAATAATTGCAAAGTGGGGATTTCTTCTAACTTAACCAGAGGCTGGTTTGATTTTTTTGTCCTTGCTTGGCTTTCTACTTTGAATTGTTTGCCCTGAGGGACTCCAAAGGGATTAGGAGCTCATAATTACCAAAGCAGTGAAAGATGGATGGAAAAGAGTGGGAGCTTCAGTACAGAATTATTTTGGTGACTCATATCTAAATAAAATCTTCACTGAGATGGAGAAATGCACTGGGGTTTTCTATAAGAACTTTTCACCCTTGGCTTTTCATGTAAGAGCTGCAAACATTTAGCACAGAGCTTTAGCCCAGGTCTCAGGCAGGAGCCTGAGTTAGGTGGCTATTGGCTGTTTTCTGAACACAAACTATTTTCTGTCTGTCTGGGGATTTTTCCTCTGTACATTCTACCCCAGAGTTGGGGGATATTCCCAAAGAAACAGCATTTCTTTGAAAAATTCCCAACGACCTTTACTTTGTCAGATGCTTTAAGTTGTTAAGGAGAGCAGGAACAAGAAACAGTTGTTAATAACAGAATATTTCTGCAAACTATTAATTGCTGAGACCCCATCCCCAAGATGCGTGGAAGATACATGAAACACCACGTCTGTTGCAGCCAAAAATGTTGTGTGACTGGTTCTATACAAATTCTCCCTCTATTTATAACCCCAAATGTTCAGGAGGAGGAAAGACTCCGGGGCAGTTTGATTCAGATAAAAAATGTCTTGCTTCAAATTGCCAAGTGGGAGTCTTTAAAACGAAATAGCAAGAAAAATCAGGTTGAATTGATCAAGGCATTAAAATGTTTAGAAGCAGAGATTGTTGCCCCCTGTGCACATGTGAGCATGTCCCAGTCCAGAGCTCTGCGTGTGCCAGGGCAGATTTTTGCAGTGCATGCTCAAAGGTATTCCAAACGTTTAGAAGGATTCCAGAACTGAATCCTTCCTTCCTTCCTTCCTTCCTTCCTTCCTTCCGGTACCGGCGGGCAGTACGCGGTATTACCGCCCTACCGGGGCTCACGTCGCGGTTCCCAGGCCCCAAACACCTGCCGCTTCCCGGTGTCCCGGTGTCCCGGGGCGGTGTGGGGAGCGCTCCGGGCCCGCCAGGGGTCGCCCTGCGCCCGAACCCCGGGAGCGGCGGGGACGGAACCGGGAATGGGGCAGGGATGGAGCCGAGAACGGGGCAGGGATGGAGCCGGGAACGGCGGGGATGGATCAGTGAGAGGGATAGGGATGGAGCCGGGAACAGCGGGGATGAATCTGGGAACGGGGCAGGGATGGAACTGGGAACGAGGCAGGGGTGGATCCCGGGAACGGGGCACGGATGGATCCCGGCATCACCCCGTGCCCGAACACGCAGAGCGGCAGGGATGAGTTTAGCAGAACGGTGCTCGGATTCCGAGAACGGCAGGGATCGATCCCGGGAGCGCCCCGTGACCGAACCCCGGGAGCGCCCGGAGTTCGAAGCCCAGGAGCAGGGCAGGAACGAATCCCGGGATTCGGGCAGCAACGAATCCCGCCGCCTTGTGCCCTGATCCCACGAGCGGCGGGCCCGGCTCGTGCCAGTTGTCGCCGCTCCGCCGCGGGCTCGACGTGTCCCGGCGGCCCCGGTGCTGCGCGGCCGGGAGCCGAGGGGGCGGCGGAGGGCACCGTCGGGGCACAGCTCTCCCGCAGCCCCCGCCCCGCAGCCGTCCGCTAAGTCGTTCCTGCCCCGCGGCGGAGAGCAGCAGAGCCTGTCCGGTGCCCGGTATCCCGGCGGGGCTCGGCCCGGCCCGCTCCCCCCCCGGCCGCGGGCGGCTTTTGTTCCCGGCGGCGCGGGGCGGGGGCGCGGGGGGCGGCGCG